ATTTGTTGTCCCTAAGCGTCGCAACCCAGATAAAAAGGTTTCTGCTATTAATATTACGTATTCAGTATGTTTTCCAGGGTTTAATAATACATTAGGGTACCTATTAAATTGCTATTTCTAAATATAGACTACTTTGATGGTATTGTTAAAGGTTTCGTAAGCACACATTATATTTTAATGTAACAATGACCTGTTTAACTTACATGTAATTAATTAAATCAATTCGTGATTCTTACTCAATAGAGCACGAGTCTAACTGCTGATTGGTTGACTTATTATTATAAGGCTCGTGCTCGTGTCACACTTACTCATGACTAAGGACCAGGAATTGATCCCAAAACTAGATTTTTTTTATCTAATTACACGTAAGTTAAACTGGTAGTTATTACATTAAAAACTTTAATGGTGATTATAATAATATATTTACCAGATATCCAAAGAAGGAGATTAATTTTTTGCATGTATGTGTATAAGTATGTAATTTATATGTAACTTACAAGTGCAATAAAGAATATATATAAGTATGTATGCATTTTTAATGAAAAAAATAAATGAATCTTTATTTCTATACAATAAGTAGTTAAAATAACTTGATAGATTTTTATAAAAAGAGTATAGTTTATTTTCGAATGGACTGTGGAATTGTTCACTTTATGACGTTCTTCAGCCAGTGCAGTCCGGATTATGGTTATAATGACATTTTCCTTGGCGACTCAGATTGATCCCGAGGATAACCTCGGGATCAATAAAATAAACATAGTAGCCATAAACAATTAAAAAGAATTTTTTCCCTTCGTCCTTTTGTCTTATTTAATATATTTAAGGGCCATAGTCAACAATGTAATTTTATTGCAAAAATAAAATGATAGTACGCAATATTGATAACTAAATATTTAATGTACAGTTCGGTGTATTTTTTTCGTGTAGGATATTTTAACTTGAGAACCAGATAATTGGTGTGATTGTGTTGCATTTATTATAATTTTTATTTCAACAATTTCTTCCTAGAAAGATGGGTATATTACAAAAAGAACTATGAAAATCGGTTCAGAATTAGCCACGTAATCTCGTAATATAATTGAAGACTCCAATGAGTGAAGGTATGGATATGTCACATATCCGGATTTTCGCTACTATTATGTATAAACTAACCATTATAAGTATAGTATATTATATGCATACTAAAAACTATAAGTTATGGTAATCGAGTTATTTCTCAGTTAAGATAAGATTGATTTGATGAATAATAGAAGAGTTAATATAAGTTATGTTAGCAAGCACATACCATACCATAGCTGTAAACAGACCACTGCTGTACATTGACTTTTAACTGTTGAGGAGTATTACCAGTAGTCACCATGTTTGTCAGACGTGGTGGCAACCGCAATTAGGCTTTGGCGATGTTTTAAAAGGAACGCTGTTGCCCATTCATCGACCGTTAAGTTCTCTTAGTCACCTCTTACGACACCCACGAGAAAGGAAGGGATAACCTATTCTATGCCGAGACTACACAGTACACAGCGGCATGCACATAGCACCTCCATCTATTCATAGAATAGGCCAAATCTCAAAATACGATTTTTCATGTCATGTCTTCATTTGCAATAAAAAATGATAAATTGTTAATCTTATTCTTTTAATAGTTACTTAATTATATAATACCCAATTTCCAAAACTGTAGATATAGCAGACATACTTAATCGAGTTAAATTTGTTGAAAATAAATTTTGTAACTACGTCCAAATCTAGATTTTATACAAAGGTAAAACTATGACTTGTTGGCATTATTATTTTATGAAATATAAAAGAAAAACAAACACCATTTATATTTCATTTCGTACATTTCACTATCACGTTTTCCTTCATTAATACAGTCCATCTGCGTTTGACGTCACAAGATGTATGGGCGTATCCGTTGAGACACCGTAGATATAAATCGGGTGAATTACATTAGGCATCGGTGAGCATTTTCAATAAAAGCTGGAGTAAAGAGCGCCATTACTCTTTGAGGTGGTCCCGCGGCACGGGTCAGATGGGTCGCCCTGGTATGAGGTAGCAAGATAAGTTTCGTTTTCTTATATTCCATGAAATCTGACGTATTTTTCCAGTCTTTTGGTAAATCATAACTGAAATCCAATTACATTCTGGAGTTTTCGTTTTAAAAGAATTTTTCCAGAACATTAACATTAGAAACCACTTTGCTTGTCTATATCGGTAAAGGGATTTCAGATAATTATACATCTGGATGTTTCTCCAAATGTATTAGAAATTCGTTTATTTATATTATCTTAAATATTTAAATACGAACTATTTGAAAATTATGTTATGTAAACTGACTCAACGGAAAATTTAATTAGAAATTACGCAAAATTAAAAAAAATTAAACTTAAAGAAATCCAAATTTAGTTCTGCAAAACTGAATTTCAAAAATAATAAATTACAACTTGGCAACTGTTTCAATCAAATAAATTAACTCGGACCGAACGAATGCCTATTATTTCCAAATGGAGATTTACTTAATTTAATCGAGTATCGACAACTTTGGGTTCATAGGAGTGCGAGAATAACGGTTGGGTCAGGGCGCGGACAAAAAGGTTCAGTCGAGGATATTGCACGAAGCCTTATTCAGTGTTATAAGACGGTTACATAAAAACAAAGGAAAAAAAAAACAGGAAAAAATTCATTCTTCTCAAGAAAATAACATTGTATCTGGTGATCTTTATTTCTGTTTCATTTATAGAATATTAAGATTGATGTTTTATAACTTGATAAACAAGAAATAACATGAAACAACAAATCTCAAAATAAATATTAATTTCTATAAAATGAATGAACATCCGAAATTGATGTAACTGCAACATTTTTCATAATTTTGTAAAAATTTTTTTTCATGACAGGGAGCAAACGAGCATGCGGCTCACCTGATGGAGAGCATCACCGGACTAATTGCTGATGTATTGCCAGCCTTATTAAAAGGAAAATGCTCTTTTCTTAAGGTTACGATGTCGTTTCAGTTCGAACATACTACAACTGGAAATTGGTTCCAAAGCATGGTTGTGCGTGGAAGAAAGTGCCTTGATGGAAAACCACTACTAATCCAAACAGTTGGGATGAAATTTTAGTTTAGGACGGGTTGCACAATGGTGAAATTCAACAGCAGGACGGACAGATAAATATTTCTTTACAGGTGAAAATTGATTATCCTGTGGTCCTGACATATAATGCCCCCTCCTTTTCTTTCCCGTGGATGTCGTAAGAGACAACTAAGGGAACTTAATGGTCGTGAGATTAGCAGCAACGTCTTTCATAAAACGTCACCAAAAACTTACGGTTGCTAATCCGCCTGCCAGGGGGTAAAGGGATTGTTAGTAATGGAGTTTGACAGCCCCACTGCTAGCAATATGCCTTATTAGGTCGACCTCCACGTGGTTCCTTCTGGAAACTACCTACTTCATCTCCTCACCTATCATCCTTCAGTGGTGCCCCGCCGGTGTATACCGATAGCGCGGGTGGGGTTACCATTCCATTATCATCCATTAAAAAAAACCTGCCTGCCAACCTGCCAAACGCGACAACTATTAACTAAATTCACCTTACGGTGAGGTCTATATTTAACAGAGGACAATTAACAGTTGATATGATGATGATGATATTTTTTTCTTATTTATTCAAAAGACTTAAAATGAATGGAAACTCAATTTGATTCGTTGCTTAATATATACATTACACGATCTTCTCAATTCTAAAGGCACCGAGAGATATCAATAATCAACGATTCTATGGAACTAATCTGTATTTCCTTTCAGATAAAAAAATAAAATTCAAAATCGGTTTACAACTGACGGGAGTTATAGGGTAACAAACATAAAAAATACAACCGAATTGACATCCTTCTTCTTTTTAAAGTCGGTTGAAAACGCATACTTTCACATTTATAATATTAATAAGGACTTTTGCAAATATATAACTTATATTTTCTTACTTATGTGAAACAAAAATTATCTACTTGATTTTCAGGTGTTTTCAAGTTTATGTAAAAAATATTACGAAATGTAAAAGATTTAATCCCTTCTTCAGTGAGCGAGCACTTACGTCTTTCGTATTCCCGCTTCTTTATTTAGCTATTCAAGATTTACATTTCAGTATTTTTCTCTATTTTTTATTACGCTTGACGCATCCGATAAGTTATTGATTCGATTATCTTGTGAAGATGATTGAATAGGTATTATATAAGAATAAAATCATAAGAGTTGACAGTCGCTACGTTATGTAAATAAATATACTCACAACTATAATTTTTAATGGGATAGTCAGAGATATTTGTAAAATGCTTCCATTGTAATGAATGTGGTTATATGAATGTATTTCAACAAAATTTACTGTATTTATATAACTCAGTGGCTGAGTTTATATTATATAATACTTTTTAACTGCGTAAAATGTCTCATTCCTACAGGGAAATACAAAAATTCGGCGCGCGAAGGACGTCATGAGCACAGATAGTGAATATCAAAACACTTCTTAGAATATATTATTATCATTACAGGAATTCCTACGAGATTTTCAGTTAGATATGCGGCGAAGGAAAATAAATTCCCTACAATAATTTGCATTAACAGCGTTTTGGAATACAAAAAATATAACATACAGTTAACAGCAGAAAAGCAGATCAAATTGTCCTAAACAAACATCTGAAATATAAAATCTGGGACTCGCTGAATCTAAAAACGGTACCTTAATAAACAACAATAACATAAAATGTTATGTTTGAAGGAATCTGTTTTACAATTTCCAGATATATATATATATATATATATATATATATATATATATATATATATATATATATATATATATATATATATATATATATATATATATATTGTTGACCGTCGAATTTGTTTGGGCAGAGACGATGTCAAATTACCTGTATTGCTTACACTCAGAACGGGTAGTTTATTATCTAAAACAATCAGATGTAAAATGTTATTAATACTCACGTGTGCAATGCCTTGGTTCATCAGAGGAATCGCCACAATCGTTGGAGCCATCGCAAAATCGGTTTATCGGAACACATTTTTTATTGGAGCACAGGTATTCGGATATCCGACATCTAGTGTCGTTACCGTGAAGTACTGGTAACAGTTCCGGCTCCAGAACCTCCTTTGGGCTATCTCTTTGGTAAATTTCGTTTGGCTCTCTATTTTTTGGACTATCGGTGACTACATTGCCATTCAGCTTTGTTATGGTGAGAACTATGATGCCAACTTCTATGAGGACTCTGCTTAAGCCTGCAACAAATAAAATCATCTTCATTATCGTCATCATTTCAATATAATGATTTACAGGAATTTTTTATACAACTTAAAATAGCAAATAAGCTGATGGTCGATCTGATCGAAAGCGGTAACCGTCGCTTATAGACATGATCAGTAACATGGACGTAACAGAGTATACTGTGTCGCTCATGATACCCTTCATTCCTGAAGACTAAAGTGTTATGCATATGTAACTTCTAATTCATTACCACATCCCACGTTACAAACCGAAACATAGCCATAAAAATACAACTGCTTACAACGTAAACATGAACGAGACAGAGGTATCCAAACTGACGACTTTTGTACAAACTCCCACTGGTTGCATGTAATTGAAACTCGAACATTATATAAATTTTTATTCAAATCCGCCTGCAAGCTGATCATGGATGTCTTCCTTTTACAGTACTCGGATAAATTAATGAAACTACATATACTTATTGATTCAATACATATAATTATTGGCTCTTAATAAAGCGTATTTTATTCAACAAGCATGTGGATATCGTGTTGTATTGCAAAATCAAATAACGTACGTAAGCGTAATAAAAGCAATAGTAAATATCCCGGTCGGAAGACGTAGTTGATTAGGAGCAAGCAAACAACGTACTCGATCGTATTTGACTTTAATCTTGTTTTGTTTAACAATAGTAATTGTTTGTTGTAGTTTTAGATTACATATTATTAGGCTTTTAAAATTTACTTAGTTCATTCGAAGTAAATTAAGTAAAATTTACTTAATTTACTTCGAACTACATTAAATCGTCCTTAATATTTCAATAAAATTAATGATTAAAAAATTTTGATATTTTTTTTATATACAATCTATTACATTAAATAAGCAAACCAATTATCTGATGGGATATGCTCAGTGACATCACAAACTACGCTCATGGTACCTCCTGTTGATATACCATATCATGTTTCAAGACTAACTAATCCAGTAATTCCACTATCATGCAGCTGCTTAGCGGTAAAAATTTGAGTGAGACAGTGATATTTATTTAATGCTACCTGCAGGATAGTCGTTAGTAAGACTAATAGATTCGCTGTTGACTCTCTCTGTAGCTTAATTCAACTATGAGGGATCATCTCCTTAGTGCTATATACATAACTAGCTTTTATCTGCAGCTTTCCATGTATTTCCCTTTTTAAAATAAAATTTTTAATATCCTTTCTTAATTAAATGGTTATTCGACTCAACTAAGTAAATCTACGAGTTGATAACGTGACACAAAACTTCTTATTGTAACATTGACAGTATGTATATTATTCAGTAAATATTAATAAAACTAAGATAAAATCAGTAACTAAATGATTATTTGACGCAACTAAGTAAATTTACGATCTGAAAATGTGATACAAAGCTTCTTAATGTAACGTTAACGATATGTATATTACTAACGAGAACTTTGTGATGTTGACATTCAGTTGACACTGTTCTCGCTCTCAATCATAGAATAGAATATAATTATGAGATACTTTTATAATCACACCTTCATTTATAATTTTTAAGTAATTTCCAAAAGCAAAAGGATTTCAATTTGCCTGTATATTTTTTAACGTGTATGTTACAAAATCTTCCATCTTTGCCAATTTTAAATTAATTGTAATGAATATTACTCCGGTTTCCATGGTTTGCAAATTTGGGAATTACATATATACTCGTATATTAAATTTTTAATGTTTCTAATAATAATACGAGTACTAATAAGAAATAGGCTTAGCATTGTCCTTGTGAATTTGTATTTTCTTTTTAGTGAAACTTCTTAAAAACCTATTCTTATAGAATGTCTACGCCCCCATGGACTCAAGGGAATCTTACCCGCAAAAGAATTCAATGTACAAACTTTTCGATTTCTACGATTTTATTATTATGTATATATGAACTACGAGTGGTAATGAAATAAAAATAAATTGTGTTACCACTCATTTTCAATATCAGAATAACTTAAGAGTTGGCTATGGAAACACATCATCACATACCTTCTTCATACACCATCTTGATAAACTCACAATAAAATTCTATACAAATATATCTATCTTACTAGGGAAAGGGTAATATTAATAATAAAAATACTAGTCCCCACCGCTGGCAATATATCCACCCTGTCAGAGTGGTCTCTATGCGGCCCCTTCTGGAAACCATCGTAGTTCATTCCTGGTGTATTTATTACGATGAGCCACCTGACCTATCTTCATGTCGAACCTATCATCACTCACCGTTACCCCAACATTATATACCGATAGTGCAGGCGTGTGGTCCCAGCATAGAATAAGCCACCCCTTCCTTTCTCGTAGATGTCGTAAGAACCGACTAAGGGAGGGTGAAGGATGGGCAGTAGCGTCCCTTTTAAACATCTCTTTAGCCTGACTGCGGTTGTCAATTCACCTGCCAAGCGTGGTAACTACTGGCAGAATCCTTCAAAGGGAAGGCTCATGTTCAGCAGTGGACGATTAAAGCCTGATATGATAATGATGATGAGTGCAAGTGAGATTACCATTTCAACTTATCTATTAAAAAATATGTAGCTAACACAATTTAAGCTCCTCTAATGTGGCCAGTAACGGAATATAAATAGTTTATTATTATATTAATAAAACGAGAACATCAAAACAAACCAATAATAATCAATACAAATTTTACTACAACATAAAAATAATTATTGCCAAAACAAGATAATTTTCAATAAGCAAACTGTCTGTAGAACTTCTGTGGAAAACTTTTTATTCCCCCGGGCTTTTAACTGAATAGAGTGGGGGAAGCTGTCATCAATCTTGCTTGCCCGTCTCAATGACATCTTTTCATGCTTTCCATCTTCTTGTATTGAACTAAGTTGAATAGGGTAGTAATAAATTTTTAACGAGTGTTCTTAAGGCGTTTGCTTGTATGCAGGTTTATGTCAAATTTCAGTTTGTATTGAAACCGACCGCATATATCTGTTATCAATAAAAAATAAACATTATTTATAAGTAAACACATTGACTCTCTTTTTCTTTGAGAGGAAAATAAAGAGTGATTCATTCATATCTTCATTCACTTGAAATTGGTTGTGCCGTTTTGACATTTTAGAGAAAGAAAAACAAAATTATAATTGGAACGATATAGTAATGTTTCATATTACACTCTAATTATTAAATTCATTTAATAGTACATTACTGCAGGCATTGATGGATGAACGTGCCAATGTGGGCCGAGGCGCAGCCGAGGCACACATACGTGAGTCCATTAATGCTTAGTCGTGGCCAAGGCTTGAATAGTACTTTTCCCAAACAATGCGCGGAAATCAAAAACACAATTTTACTTTTTAAATTCAATGACGAATAACGAACAATAATAATTTTTCACGCGCCATATCCTTTGTTTTTTTTTTTTTCAATAAACAGCTTTCTATTTGCAAGCCAGTTCATAATTTACATAAAACATTGTACTAGTTATCTCTTTGGTAGCCATGTTTCGAAGTAAAAGGTCACTCCATTTTTAAATTACCGGACAGATATGAGTTTACATAGTAATTTATCTGGCCGCAAAACGCGACAGATATGGATTTTCATAGAACTTTTGCCGGGCGCTGTCCGCATGTATCTGGCCAGTACGGCAATTTTGATTTATCTCGAAGAAGATTGTCAAAATAATGCTCACATTTCCATAATGTTCTTATAATTATAATCATGATTATAATCATTGAAGTTTCATCAAGATAGAAAGTTACTGTAAATTACTACAAGTGATGTTTACTATAATTTCAATTGCCAGTTATACAGAATGGCAACCGTATTAGTTGCTATTTTGTTTTCAAATATTTCTTTTTAAATATTTTTATTCACGTTTTATTTTGCGTACCTACTTTTGATAATAGGATGCAAAATAAATTTATTGATGTTTTTTAACTTATATTATATCAAGGGAAAGACGTTAATTATATTTTCATTATTTCATAGCATCCCGTACAATAAATAGTTGCAAATAAGTAAATAGTTCTTCTAAATTTGCTCAACATTCTAACTTACGTTTAATATTACAATTAATTTCTAAGTACATAGATAAGTATATAATAGAGTTTATAATAATACGTGACATATTCAATAATTCACGTTGTCTATTGTAAAGGAACATATCGCCCGAAATACAGGGTAACCTCCAGCAATGGCCTTACACGTCTCCATTCACATCTACTACGTATAGGGTATGTCAAATAAGGCGCCGTTTATGGACCCTTGTCAAGAATAATCATGATCTACAGGATGATAAGTCATTCAGAGCGATCACTGCTGCCTGAAGGGAATCTATTCACGTGAAGACAGCACCTTATCAAGTAATAACAGGGCTTTATATGTGTGTTGTGCTATCTATTGTGTACAGGGAATCTATTTTTATACACGAAGTAAAATATTGTGTAAGTACATACTGGGGGTATTGTACTTTTTCTTCAAAAATATGTAATCAAGAAATTTTGAAGAACAATTAAAAGATGATAAAATGAAAATAAAGGATAGTTTTGAAGATATATCATTTTGATCTGATACTAAATTCATTATTTATGTTATTAAACTTTTTGAAAAAGCAACAGCTGAGTTACTTCCCTGTTCTTCTTGGCTGAAACGGTATTCCGAATGCCTATTCGGTAATGAAAAGAATTTCTATTCAAAGATGCTTAAATCTAAATTTACTTTAATAAAAATATTTCTTTTTTGCTAGAATATGTAACATACTTGTATTATTATAAAATAATTCTTGTTTATTTATTTTAGTTATAAATAGGTAAAAAATAGAGACGATAAGTAAACTTATTTGTTTATCATTCATGAATATCACTATATTAGTTTGAGTGTTTTTATATATTATACGAAGACACGCATTTACTAAAAAGATATTTTCATACATCTATTAGGTATCTATAACTCATAGTATAAACTTTAGTCAGTTTAAAATTAAATAGCATTATATGCACGTTATTAACCTAAGAGTCTAC